AAAAAAAAAACAGGGGAATACTAATGATACGGATAGGACGTGAGACCCGTTGGATATATTGATCCATGAACCACACGTATAAAATAGGCAGCAGAATCCCAGATCGGAGATCTAGTTTGATCGTACCTAGAGCTTAAAAACCTCGACCTGTTAGCTATATATTCAGCTAAGAACCTCGGTATGGTGAACGCCACAAGATCTTGCTCAAGTGTCTTGATAAGTTCTTAAAAACAATTGAAACTCTACAAAAGAGAATTCAATCTCACAATAGTGATTTCTTAATATTCAGCAAAATTCATGTTTTTCATTAAAACATAAAATGACCTTTTTAAAGGCTACAAAAGGGCTGATGAGTTAATCCCGTTTTTGGGACTCAAGACAAAATAAAGACACAACTTTGACCTCATAAATAAGCTAACATGAAGTTTGAATGACCCTTTGACTTCTAAGACAACTTAAGAGACATTTTGGTCTCACAAATGCTAAAAATAGATAAAATAATAGACTCTCCAATTGGGCTTCATGACATGGATGAAATTTAGTCTTCAATCCATTGATCAATCTTTATGCGAACAATCTGGCCCATCAACTTGAAGAATATTCATCAATTTGCCTTCCATCGGGATTTGGTTCGACTCCTTTTGAAATTCAGCAATAAGAACACTCAAGGCTTCCTTCATTTTCTTAGCCCTTGCCCTCGTGATCGGTCCCCCGTTTATTTCCAACGGATCTTCTTTACTTTGTACGGAGAGCTTCGCATGGTCCCCATCATTCTCTTCCTCTTCAAAAGGATTCGACCACGAATCTGAATCACAATGAAAAGGAGAAAGATCAGAAACATTAAATGAGGCGCTCACATTGTACTCACCTGGAAGATCGAGTTTGTAGGCATTATCGTTGATCCGTGCAATTACTTGAAATGGCCCGTCCCCCCTTGCTTGCAACTTTGACTTGCGCTTTGCTGGGAATCTCTCTTTTCTCAAATGCAGCCAAACCCAATCTCCGGGTTCAAAGGTAACTCGCTTTCGCCCTTTATTGGCTTGTTTTGCATATTGCTCGGTTTGCTTCTCAATGTTCAGCTTCACCTTCTCATGTAACTTCTTGATCATTTCAGCCTTGGCTTTTCCATCCAAGTTCGCTTGTTCATCAACAGGAATAGGCACAAGGACTTAAAGGATTAAAGCCGTAAACAACTTCAAAAGGAGTAAAATTAGTAGCAGAATGAACACTCCTATTATATGCAAATTCAGCAAATGGCAAACAATCTTCCCAACTTTTTAAGTTCTTTTTAATCAAAGCTCTAAGCAATTGAGATAAAGTTCTATTTACTACTTCAGTTTGCCCATCGGTTTGGGGGTGACAAGTCGTAGAAAACAGAAGTTTAGTTCCCAATTTACCCCACAACACACGCCAGAAATGACTCAAAAATTTTTCATCTCGATCACTCACAATGGTTTTTGGAACCCCATGCAAACGTATAACTTCTCGAAAGAACAAATCAACAATATGCGTAGCATCATCACTTTTATGACATGGAATGAAATGAGCCATTTTAGAAAATCTGTCAACAACCACAAAAATACAATCTCTACCTCTACTAGTTCTAGGTAAACCCAAAACAAAGTCCATAGAAATATCCACCCACGGTTCATTAGGAATAGGTAAAGGCTGATACAAACCATGAGGTTTTGATTTTGATTTAGCACATTTGCAAGTTATGCACCTCTCACATATTCTCTCCACATCAACACGCATACCAGGCCAAAAGAAATGATCACGCAATACTTCCAATGTTTTATGTACACCGAAATGTCCCATTAATCCTCCCCCATGTGCCTCCGTAACCAGCAATTCTCGAATAGAACATTTAGGAATACAAAGTTTATTCTCACGAAGCAAGTAACCATCATGCTTGTAAAACTTACCAAATGCAGCATGTTCACAAGCTAAGTAAATCGACCCAAAATCAGAATCAGTGGCATATCTAACCTTTATCGACTCAAATCCAAGAAGCTTAGAACTCAAAGTAGTGATTAAAGCATACCTTCGAGATAAGGCATCAGCTACAATGTTTTCCTTGCCTCTTTTGTATTTGATCACATAAGGAAATGATTCAATAAATTCCACCCATTTGATATGCCTCTTGCTCAACTTACCTTGGCCCTTCAAGTACTTGAGAGACTCGTGATCCGTATGAATCACAAACTCTTTCGACCACAAGTAATGCTGCCAAGTTTCCAATGCTCTCACCAAGGAATACAACTCCTTATCATACGTCGGGTAGTTCAATTGAGCTCCTTTCAACTTCTCGCTGAAATATGCAGTGGGTTTTCATTCCTGCAACAAAACAACACCTACACCTACTCCAGAAGCATCACATTCAAGCTCAAAAGATTTATCAAAGTTAGGCAAAGCAAGAATAGGTGCAGAAGTTAATTTTTCTTTTAAGAGATCAAAAGCAAGTTGCTGTTTTTCTCCCCATCGAAAACCAACTTCCTTTTTCACAATTTCGTTTAATGGTGCAGCAATGGTGCTAAAATCTTTCACAAACCTCCTATAGAAGCTAGCAAGACCATGAAAACTTCTTACTTCAGCAATGCTCTTAGGAACAGGCCAATCCAAAATAGCTTTGACCTTATCCTTTTCCATTTCTATTCCATCACCACTTACAACAAATCCAAGAAAAACAACTTTATGCATGCAAAAAGAACACTTTTTAAGATTAGCATACAATGATTCAGTTCTTAAAGTGTCCAAAATAGCACGAACATGATCAAGATGCTCTTCTTTGCTTTTGCTATAGATGAGGATGTCATCAAAATAAACCACAACAAATTTCCCTATAAAGTCACGCAAAACATGATTCATTAATCTCATGAAAGTGCTTGGTGCATTAGTTAAACCAAAAGACATGACTAACCACTCATATAAACCATATTTTGTCTTAAAAGCAGCTTTCCATTCATCTCCTTCACAAATTCTAATTTGATGATAACCACTTTTCAAATCAATTTTAGTGAAGATGACAGCACCATACAATTCATCAAGCATATCATCTAACCTAGGAATAGGATAGCGATATTTAACCGTGATTTTATTGATGGCTCGACAATCTGTACACATTCTCCAAGATCCATCTTTCTTCGGCACCACGATTACCGGTGCAGCACATGGACTCATGCTTTCTCGTATCTTCCCTTTCGCCATCAACTCTTCCACTTGCCTCTGAATTTCCTTCGTCTCTTCTGGATTTGCCCTATATGCTGGACGGTTTAGAAGTGTAGCTCCCGGAATGAACTCAATCTGATGTTCGATTCCCCTTATAGGCGGTAATCCACTTGGCTCTTCTTCGGGGAACACGTCTTCATATTCCTGCAAAAGAGACACAAAAGCACTAGGCAAAGATGGGGTTAGCTCGTTAGTGTTCAAAAACGACTCTTTGATCACCATCACTAACACAATTTTCCTTTCAAATATTGCCCTCTTCATCTCACTGGCTTTTGCATAAAAATCCAGCCTTTTTTTCCACACTTAGTTCTTTTCCCTCAATCTCACTCATTTCTTCTTGGTTTTTCCCTCCAATCTTTTTTTCTCTCAAATTTTTCCCCTCATTCTTTTCTTTCTTTTTCTCACTTTCTCTCAATTTTTTTGATTGAGACATTTTGAACTGATCTTCTCGCACTTGCTGTGGATTCAAAGAAACAAGTTGAATGCTCCGGTTTTCATGCTTCAAACTGTAACGGTTAAGAAAACCATCATAAGTCACTCTTCTGTCAAATTGCCATGGTCTACCCAAAAGGATATGGCTAGCATGCATTGGCACTACATCACATAGGACCTCATCCTTGTAGTTGTCGATTGAAAATGACACCAACACTTGTTTCGTCACTCGAATTTCTCCACAATCATTTAGCCACTGCAGCTTGTATGGATTGGAATGTTTTGTGGTTGGTAAATTCAGCTTCTCCACCATTTCACAACTAGCGACATTAGCACAACTCCCTCCATCAACAATCAGCACGCAAACCTTCCCAAGAACTAAACATCTCGTATGAAAGATGTTCTCCCTTTGCTGTTCAGCTTCCTCCACCTTGATTTGCATGTTAAGAGCTCTTCTCACCACCAAAAGCTCTCCATGTTCAGGTGTGGTCTCCTCGGCTTGCTCGTCATCGCTGGATTCATGCTCACTTTCAGATTCTATTACACCATTTTCCCTCAAGATCATGACTCTCTTGTTAATGCATTCGGAAGCAATATGGCCAAAGCCTTGACAACGGAAACATTTGATATCACGGCTTCGAGATGATGACGCGACAGCCTTGCCTTTATCAACCATATGACCCTTAGTATTAGAAGTCTCATTTTGGGTTTTAGAAGCTGCCCCAAAATTTATCTTCGGACTTCCTTCTTTCGCCTTGCTCGACGGGTAAAGGTTCGACGAAAAACTTCGTTGAGAGGATCCCTTCGTCCTTAGTTGTCTTTCCACTTTCCAATAATGTGAAGGGACGAATCTTTTACGCATGATGGACTTCATTTCAGCCCAAGTAGAGATAGGCCTCTCACCATATCGCCTTCGGTTAGTGGTTAATTGATCCCACCAAACAATAGCATAGTCAGTGAACTCAATCGCATCAAGCTTCACTTTCTTCTCCTCGAAGTAGTTATGACACTCAAAAATGAGATTCGTCTTCTTTTCCCACTCCAAATATGCCTCCGGATCACTTCTTCCTTTGAATGTGGGAATATTCAGTTTTATGCTTCCCAAGTCACGATCTACTTCATTATCTCGCCTTCTCTTTCCTCCTCTATTGCCACGGTGTGGAGGCTCACGAAACTCCTCCTCGTCAGAATCAGGTTGATAGAATTGATTATTATCGTGTCTTCTATGATCTTGTTGTTCCAACCTCTCCAAACGTTCGATAATGCCTTCGAGAACACCTCCAAGCCTTGCAAAATGTTGCTGCATAGCTTGAATGGTAAATTCATTTCCCGCATTGGTTGAATTATCCTCCATTATTCAAATCTCACAAGTCACTCGTGTATCACTCAATATAGTCCTCACAACACTCGTGTTTCACTCGTAGGCTTTTACCTCCCCTCTAATGAGCTCACACACTCTTGCCTTTTACCACTCCGAATTCTCTTTCGTAGGTTCAACCAAAATAAACCTATCAAGATCAATTTCGTTGAACAATATAAGGACTGATTTTTTTTTTTTTTTTGGGTACAAACTATTTTTTTTAACTAACAGATTTTTCTCTCTTTTTTTTTTTTGCAATTCTTGTATAAAAATACAAGGAACTTTTTTTTTTTCAATACAAGATAGATAAAAAAAGATAGAAATCAGATCAATACCAGATCGCTCTGATACCAAACTGATACGGATAGGACGTGAGACCCGTTGGATATATTGATCCAAGAACTACACGTATAAAATAGGCAGCGGAATCCCAGATCGGAGATCTAGTTTGATCGTACCTAGAGCTTAAAAACCTCGACCCGTTAGCTATATATTCAGCTAAGAACCTCGGTATGGTTAACGCCACAAGATCTTGCTCAAGTATCTTGATAAGTTCTTAAAAAAAATTGAAACTCTACAAAAGAGAATTCAATCTCACAATAGTGATTTCTTAATATTCAGCAAAATTCATGTTTTTCATTAAAACATAAAATGACCTTTTTAAAGGCTACAAAAGGGCTGATGAGTTAATCCCGTTTTTGGGACTCAAGATAAAATAAAGACACAACTTTGACATCATAAATAAGCTAACATGAAGTTTGAATGACCCTTTGACTTCTAAGACAACTTAAGAGACATTTTGGTCTCACAAATGCTAAAAATAGATAAAATAATAGACTCTCCATTTGGGCTTCATGACATGGATGAAATTTAGTCTTCAATCCATTGATCAATCTTTATGCGAACAATCTGGCCCATCAACTTGGTTCGAATCCTTTTGAAATTCAGCAATAAGAACACTCAAGGCTTCCTTCATTTTCTTAGCCCTTGCCCTCGTGATCGGTCCCCCGTTTATTTCCAACGGATCTTCTTTACTTTGTACGGAGAGCTTCGCATGGTCCCCATCAACTAATGTACAACTGTATTTTTCCTCCATGGATCATGTCTCAGACTCACTTCATCATTAGATATATATATAATTTAAAAAGTATGTATTATTTTATTCAAATATATTATATTATAGCAAATAACATAAACATAATTATGACATTTAATTGTACTTTTGTTATTAGTCATCTGTGTAATGACAATAATTTTGATCATATGCGAATGAATTATAATGAAAGAAATAAAAATAGATCGTAACGGTGAGATATGATATATCCACGCTCCAGACAGAGTCAAAGGGTCCAAGTTTGGCCAAAGGGGCGGTGATATTTTTGTAATTATGTAGACTTTGAATTTTTTTGCGGGGGTATTTTAGTCATTGCGCAGAATACACTATTACATTACTATGAGTTTTGAGAGTCATTAATGTACACTCAGTCTTACACTATTGTGCATTCTGAAGCACGAGTGTTTTAATGTGCATATCAAAATTCAATATGATTGTCATTGGACTGCCCTGAGTGCTTATAATTAGCTCGGGTATGGGAGGTTGAAGGGATCTCCAGCCCGGTTCAGTACTCGACCTCGTCGAATCGCTTAGGCAGTTCAGTGTACGAGTCGACCTAATTAAGAGGCTGTAGAGGTTAGGATCTTCCAGGAGCTCGAAAAAATGGCGTTACCTCATAACTCGAAGGTCTTAAAGGTAGTGGTTGTGGTTACGACTAGGTTAGGGTTTGTGGCAGATAGGTTGCGAGGTCGTTTAGATGACATAATGAACTAAGTGTCGTATGGTAAGAGAGAACATGATCCTTTAAGGATGGAAAGGATATCTAAGGCTAAGCAGACTGAGGTTCTAGAAACGTGATAATCTAGAAAACTAGATATAGTTAGATCTCTTTTCTTGCTTGGACTCTACTTGGACAACAAGACACCTCTAGTATATAAAGATGACAAGGTTCTATTTTATGATTAACGCATATTTTACGTACATAAGCATGCGGTTTCATACTTTCTCACGAGCGACTACTGACTTGAGCGTCAAAGGTTTTTTTGCTGGGGTCCCTTCCCAACGTATTGCAGATTATCGAGACTCGAGACAAAATACTCTTCGTGGTGGTGCCGGTCTAACACGATCTAAGATCAATTTACGTATCAACCCCTACTTTAGCAAATACTGTGTGACATTTTAATAGCTTCAAATAAGAGATATCTTGCTATAAAATTTTATGATCATTTTATGTTGCAAAATGGCAGATCCCGCATCGCTCACGCACGAGACCAATATTCGGGATATCATTCAAGATTTACATGATCCACTTTAGATAAGACCAAATCCTAGATATTTAATTACGGTCTTTCTTGTATATTAGGTTAGTCTTGTATATTAGGTAGATAGATTCTTGGAGAGAATGATACTCTTATAATCCCTCTGTTTTTTTATAAATGTCGTTGTAGGATATTAATTTTTTTGCAAATTAATTGTCATTGGAAATAATTTATCCATTCTTTCAACTTTATCCTCTTTAACAAATCTTAAAAAAAATACCTAAAAACTTTATCTCTTATCATTATCTTTAAAAATGATCAATTAATAATTCAAACACTAAATTTAAGAAGATTAGTAGATAAAATAATTACATAACCCATAAAAATAGTAATTTAGAAGTTTTAAATTAAAAAGACATTTAAAAAGAAACATAGAGGGAGTATCATATATATCCACACATTTGTAAGAAATCAATTTACACAATTCTCGTTTTCATAACCAATGAGCAGTTAACAAGTTTGGTTCATCCTTAATGCAAAAGACACGTTTGTGGAACATAACTTCTAAAAGATGAAGCTAAACATGAATACAGGAGAATAACATTGTTTGAATGTTAGCGAATTGGTGTAAAATTAGATTATTTAAACTTGTTTAGATGTTGTACCCTTCAAATCCGTTGATTAACTTGTTTGGTAAAGAGTTTATCTGATTAGTTTTTTGAGCCCAAATTAAATGTTAATTCTGAAAAACTCGATAGAAGAGCGTTATGAGAAAACAAGGTTTGTAAAATAACATGTAACATAAAATTTTCAAAATAGTTATACTATGTGCTATTTACGAAACAATTATTTAAAAACAGACAACACAATCCGCTAGTCAAATATATTATTACAATCTGCTACAAGCTATCCGGTAATAACCTAATACGATCATTTGTTATTAACTAATACGCAAAAGGCTACTTTTGTAAATTTTCTTTCATATTTCGAACGCACTGAGCCTAGCTTCGCACGCTTTTCGTAATCTTACATGGCAAAATATTATGCTTTGTAATATAGCTTGAATAAAAATTACTAATTTTTTATACTAAATCATTCCATATAAATATATTTATTATATTCTTTAGATAATGTGCATATATAATCTTACTTTCCAAATTTTTTGCTTTGTTCATATTGTTCCTCCCTTATGTGTTTTAAATAAGAATATTATAAATAAAATTAATGTTGTTAATTCACTTAGTTATTTATTATAAATTGTTATACTATTGTTCTTTATTTATTTTCTCCAACTTCAACAAAATATATATTTTTTTTTATTTTTCTATTGTACATTAAATTATTTTATCAACCACCCGTATAATACACGGATATTGTACTGGTGCATATGATTGAGAAAGATCTAGTGGTTGTTAAGGTGGCAAAAGACCATGCAATAAATAAAGACAGCATATATTCATGCTTGGGGAGCACTGTTTGGACAGCAAAAAGAAAGGGAAAGGTGTGAAGAGGTCACGTGTGCGACCCATAAAGAACACTACCTGCATGGACTCATCAATTCCACATACTAAAAAGACGAGATATGAAAACAACAATATATATATTAGAGAGTGGGAGCAAAAATATAAACAAGTTGAATTCCCATTTTAAGAAATAAAATTGAATATTTTCTCAATTATTGTACATAACATTTTAACCAAACTATTTTAAAAATTTTACTTAAATGCAATTAAAAAAAATTAGCATTTGTAAACTGATAGGTTCCACTACAAAAAAAAAACACTACAATTCCAACGAAAAATTCCAACGGCAAAAATTTCTGTTGAAAATTCCAATGAATATTCCAACAAACTTAATTTTATGTTGGAATAAGTGTTAGATAGTTGAGGAATTCCAACGGATTTTTTCCGTTGGAATAGCTGTAGGAATTTATTTCTATAGGATTTTCCGTTGGATATTTGTTATTCCAACGGCCGTTTTTCTAACGGATTTTTATACGTAGGAATATCCGTTGGAATAGCTATATAAAAAATTCCAACAGAAAATTTCCGTTGGAATGTAAGAGTTTTTTTGTAGTGTTCTCCTCAGACAGGCCAGTTGATGACCCTCCGACAAATTTATGTAGTTACATGTGTTTGAGGGCAAATTTGTGTGTGTGTGTGTGTGTGTGTGTGTGTGTGTGTGTGTGTTGTCTATGCAAGCTCAGACCCGATACCTTCTTAGAGTTGGAGATCAGGGAAAGAGGGTGCATCATCGCAGGTCCTACATTAGACCTGCTCTAATACCAAAGCAGGTTGGGTAGATTAAATAGTCGCAGGTCCTAGATCAGACTTGGTACCATGTTACAATTATTATAGATTAGTGGAAGTCCAGTACATTGAATCATATCATAAGAGAGTGAGCCAAGGTTCACCTTATTGAAGTTTCATCTCAAAATCAATTGGTGGTGGGGGGAGTAGCTCACTAACTTATAAATTAGACCTATTTATTTTAAAATATCAATGTAAAACAATTCACGAGTGATATTCAAACACTATCGAAATGTGAACAAAAACAAAACAACACCATACTTATGTTTACGTTATAGTGTAAACAATGGTCATGCTGGATGGGATTCTGCGGCACCAAAATTGGATATAGTGATTTATTCATTATATAGAAAAAAATATTTTATATTGTCATATAAATTTTTTGGACAAAATTAATCTAATTTTTAACTCAAGTTCAACTCAAATCTAATTCAACTTTATTCTACTCAATATCATCAATATAGGTAAATATTTAAAATCAATAATTACTACTCCCTCCTTTTCAAAATAAGTGTCGTTTTGACTTTTTTGATTCATCCATTTTGCTATATATCTAGACATAAATATGTCTAGATACATAGTAAAATGGATGAATCAAAAAAGTCAAAACGACACTTATTTTAAAAAGGAGGTAGTACATAATTTCCAACAATATTCATTATTCATCAGCTCACATATTTTAAATTAACTATCAATATTTTACAATAATTATTTTACAAATATCATATCAACTTTAATCATTAAATTTTAACCCATATCCACTCACAAAATTTAAATCAAATTCAAATTAATTACCGCTCAATTAGCTTTTTTTTTTTTTTTA